GCCCTGCCTCCCCGTCCTCTGCTGCAGGGGAGGTGGGTGGTGGTGGACGCCACTGCTCTCTGCTCCTCACACTGAACCCACAGCTCATTTTCTGATGCAAACCCAGCCAGCAACCTTCCCTCAGGAGGACAAATAGAAGCTCAACTCTAGTTAAAGACAAACTAGGGCTCTCTGTGATTCCAAGACAGCACAGCGCTCATAAGGTCTTCTAAGAGGAAACATTTAAGGTCAGCTTGCAATTAACATAATTTCTCCAGCACACAGCCACGTGTTGACTCTTTTTTAATTTTTATTTATTTTTTGAGGAAGATTAGCCCTGAGCTAACATCTGCCACCAATCCTCCTCTTTTTGCTGAGGAAGACTGGCCCTGAGCTAACATCTGTGGCCGTCTTCCTCTGTTTTATGTGGGACGCCTACCACAGCATGGCTTGTCAAGCAGTTCATAGATCCACACCCGGGATCCGAACCAGCGAACCCCGAGCCACAGAAATGGAATGTGAGCACTTAACCACTGCGCCACCTGGCCAGCCCCTGTGTTGACTCTTTTTGAGGGAGCAGGAGCAAAGAACTAAATTGTCCTTTAACTAGTGCTTTTCAATTGCACAAGGCATTTTCCAAATTCCTCTTATTATAATTAGAGTAATATTGCAGCCTCTCTCACAATGCTTTGCAAGATTTCATTTGTTTTTATTCACATAAAAGTTGCATACAAATTTTAATTATGTAAGAAACTATAGTAGTAAGAAAAGATAAGTCAGGCGAGCATATTTATTTCAGTATGTCAAAAATGTGCTAATTTTTTCAAAGCAGTGAATTGGTGGGTCAGCCTAGGAGTAGAACCCCAGAGTGGTCTGCAAGCCAGTTACACATTTTCTTCCCCAGGGTCCCTGGCTGCTCAGTGACCTTGGTGAGTCCCTTAATTATTTCAGGACCTCAGTCCCCCATCAGTAAATGAGGTTGATGACACCTGCCCTCCTGATTTCCCAAAGCAACTATAAAGAGAAAACTGGAACAGGCTGCAAAGCGTAAAGCCTGAGACAGAGCATAAATCACAACTGCAATTTTAAATTATGTCTACAATTTCAAGGCTTCATCTCGCAGGACCACTCTGCGGGGGAAATTGGAGACACTCGTTCTGTATGCTGTTTCTCTTCAGCCCTTGAGCCTGCCCTCCTGCCTTGCTTCCTTCTTTGCTCTCTGCCTTTGCTGACACCTGTTCACGACCTGCCCCGCTGGGTGACATTATTTATTTCTCCCCACGTTCTTGATCACATGTTGCAAGCGTTTTCATTGTTTTGGGGGCTCTGAGCCTCACCGCTTTGCCTTCTCCTTCCTGCCCTCCCCCACCTTTCCGAAAGGCCGTGGCTGTGAACGTCGACTCGGCTGCCCTCCCTAACGTTTTCATTGATGGGCCGGCTGGGCCCATTTCCTCTGACGTGCCTCTTCTCCTCAATAGGTCCTTGTTATCTCAGCTGCCTGGGATATTTGTGTGACTTCCCTGTCCCAGGATGAGCTCCACCTGCCTCCTTTCCTCTCCCACGCTGACGAGAGCCCCATTTTATCCTGCTGGTGACAAGACCCAGCCAGAGCTCAGCAGGCTGAGGCCGCAGGCCCTTCTTTGAGGCAGGGTCCTACCTCTCCCCACTGGGCCTTGAACCTGGGGAAGCCACGGGGAAGGGAGGGACCCACCTAGGTTTTTCCCTCCATCTTCTTTCTAGTTTAACTGGTTATTGTGCTGGGAGAGAAACAGGCCTTTGGCAGCAGAAGAAATGAAACCAACCCCCAAGCTGCCCCTCTCCCCATGGAGGACCGAGGGAGATGGCGCCAGAAGGGACTTTGGGGAGGAGCTTGTTCAGCTCCTCGTTCCACAGTTGAGGAAGCAGAGATAAGAGGCCACATGGCCTGCCCGAGGTCCCCGTGCCCAGCCGGCACTAGGCCCTGGGTATCAAAGTCGACAAGGTATGTGTCCTGGCCTGAGCCGTCCACAGTTAGGGGATAAGGAAACATGTATTGAATGACTGGGCAGGCCCTGCTACCTGCTCAGTCATCAGGCCTCTCCCACAGTTCCTTTTATTAAATTCTCTTCCCCTCCAAGAGTAGCCCGCCGTGCCCCTGAGGCCTAGCTCCCAGCCACCCATGGGAGGATCTGAAAGCACTATCCGAGGGACCTCCAACCACGTCCTCCTCACGCCCAGGCTGCTCCTTGCCCTCTTCCAGCCTCTCTGAAGTTTGTGAGGACTGCCGGTGGGGACAGTGTAGCTGGAGAAGATCCCTCTTCCCTGCTCTTCGCAGGAACAGAAGGCTGCATCCCCCGCAGGGCAGACACAGGCAGTCCCCAGCCCTTGCGGCCAGCTCAGGGCCTCTGGAGGTGAAAAGGTACCTCTTCTCCCAAAAATGATTCGGCCTCTTTGGTTTATTGGGGGTATGCTGTTATTAGGAGTTGCTTGGAGCAGCCAGGGATACATGAATTACAGAGGAAGTCCCCCTTTATTCTGCTTCTCATTTCATGAACCCCCGTTTCTTCCCCAGGAGAGAGTGCCACACGAGGGATGAACAGAAACTGGTCAGAGGGGTCCTTGGAGAGGTTCAGAAGTGGATAGGGAAGTAATCATTCAGCACACATCTTTTGAGGATCATGCATCAGTTATCTATTACTGCACAATAAACCTCTCCAAAACTTAGTGACCTAAAAACAGCTGCTTTATTGCATGTTGTTCTGAGGGTCAGGAAACTGGGCCTGGCTCAGGAGGATGGCTTATCTCCACACCACGAGGTATCCCCTGGGACAGCACACCTGGGACTGGAGGGTCCGAAAGGCTCCACTTCCGTGTCTGGGGCCTTGGTGCTGGCTCTTGGCTGGGGTGCTCAGTTTTCCACGTGGCCTCTTTCTCCTGTAGGATAGCCTGGACTTCTCCACCTGTTGGCTGAGTTTAAAAGGGAAAGAACTATATACCAGACCTAAGATACACAAATGATTACCAAATAGTTCCTTGAGGCCGAGACGGTAGGTGTTTAGATCACATATTCCCCCCTCCCCTGGAATCTCATCGCATCCACCAACACAGCCCTTTGGCCCTACCAGCTCACATTTCAGACGACTTCTCTGTACCCTGGACTAGAGCTGGTTACTTAGTTCCTAATACATGTTAGCAAGGACGAGTAAGGAGGAGTGCAGGCCCTTTAGTGTGGATTTAATAAATACTCTCCTTCTCAAAAGAAAACAATTTCTAGATTTTCCATTAGTGGATACGGTTTACTCAGAAGCTCAGGGTGAGGCACCTGGCTTCAAGGGGCAAGGATGTCAGGGAAATAATGTTGAAGTCGTCTAGTCAAATGGAGTGGGTAATGTGCCTGGGTTGCCAAAGCAGAGCGGTTCGGAATGTGGTCCTAGAGTCAGTCCTCCTGGGACGTGTGATTCAACTGCATTCTCTAACTTTGGGGAAATCGCCTACCCTCTCTAAGCTGCAGTTTCCGCCAGTGGAAAATAGGAAAAACATATATCAATCAATCGATCAAGATTGTTTGGGGGATGAAAAGGTAATGCATGTCAGGTGCTTGTCACTGTGCCTAGCACGTAGTGAAGGCTCACAAGTTTACCTATTTTTACTGGCGCCAATACACATTTACCCCATATCTCCACCATTCTCCTTAAAAAATGAAATTCATCAATATATGTATCATAGTGCAGAAGAACAGAAAAAGGGGAAGAAAAGAGAGAGGAAGGAATATGAGAAGAGATATAAGAGAGACTGAAATAAAGGGAGAGAAGGTAAGAAAGGAGACAAAAAGGAGAAGGAGGGATGGGGAGAGAGACAGACAAGAAATAGATAACGAGGCTGACAGCACACATGCTTCGGGACCAGAGATCATTTTCCGAGAAGGAGTCACATCTCTGGGGTTACCCGAAGCTCACTTGGCTCCCGGCAAACCTCAAGTATTCGCCAGGGGGAGAGGTGGAGGGGTGTGTGTCAGACGGCAAATGGATTTTGCCACCCAAGGTGTCTGTACCAACTTGGACGGGACCACATGGAAAAGAGGAAAGAGAGTGGGGGCGGGGAAGGGAAATAGTCCTCAGAGCGAAGCTGAGTGTTGGCTGGGCCTTCAACCACGAGACCCGGCCTATTAGCAAGTCTGCAAATAATACCTACAGCTCCCCCTACATTTCCAGCTCATGAAGGAAAAACAGAGCAGCTGAACCGTCTGCACACTTTTCCAGACTAAGTGCCTTCCAGGTCAACACTCCTTTGCACCTCTTGGCCCCTTTTCTTCCACCTAGGGCCTCAGGGCTGGGTGTTGGTACCGAGGAAAAGGGTACTTCTTGCCACGGGTGAGAAGCAAAGCCACCTGAGGGTCCCATCCTTGGTCCAAGCCCCATTCTCTGCCATAAGGTGGCTCCAGGGCTTGGATGCCAGCCTTCCTTCTAGACGGAAGAGTTAGGTAATGGCATGACTCAAAACCCGGGTATGGATGGTCTGAAAAGCCCCTTCTCCAATTTACAGAGCCCAAGACTTGGGATGACAAACAGGGCTCCCTTTGGCAGAAGAGGTCATGAGAAATCTCTCTGGGCATCGACCTCTCCAGACCTCCCGTTCTGGCCAGTGTCTCTGGCCACAGTCAAGCTCAACCATCTAAGAAAGACCCACTCCAAAAGTGCCATGGCTTCTTTCTTTCTTTCAGGTAGAAGCACCTTTTAACTGAAAAAGCGTTAGAACTAAGAGTAGAAAATTTAGATAATAGATTCATATTATTGATATTTTTGTATTTAGAAATCTGTGCATTTTTGGTATTCTATGTTCTTATCATGTTTAAGAGATTTTGGCCTATTAAAATTACAGATCAGCCTTGTAACTCCAATTTACAATAAGTAGTTGAATGATTAATTTGGACACGAGTTTAGGTTGAAATCTTAGTTTAATTGTATTCAAATAATTAGGAAAACAAAAATAACTATTTTAAAATGGTTTACTTTTTAGATTTATAAGAATCATTTAAATAAGTGAGAAAACTTATTGGACAGAGTCCTTTTAAGTGAAATCAAATATATTAAATTGATCAGTGCAGTGGAGAATGTCTTTAATAAGTTTGTAACTGCGCCCAAACGTTAATCAAAGCTCCTTAAAAAGTGATAGTGAAATTCACTTGCTCCATAATCTGAAATACAAGATTTATAAATTGAAAGTAGTAGATTAAAGGAGAGCTAGATTTTTGAATGTGGAACCTTAATTAATAAAATATTTACCTAAAATTAATTTTAAAGTGACCCCTGGCTGTTGTTTTCTGCTCATAAAAGCTACCTGGAAAACATGAAAGATTGTTTTAGTCCTGGTGATTACTAGCGTGCTGGCTTTCTATTGCTGTAAAAAGATACCTCAAATTGAGCTGCTTAAATGAATACCCGTTATTTATCAGCCTACAGTTTTCATGGGTCAGTTGTCCAGGCACAGCTTAACCGGGTCCTCTTCTCAAGGTTTCGCAAGGCTGCAATCAAGCCTTCAGGAAGGGCTGGGATCTCATCAGGGTCCCTCTTCAGAGGGTCCTCTTCCGGGTTGATATGGGTGTTGGCAGAATTCATTTCCCTGTGGCTGTAGAGTTCATAGTGCCTTGCTTCTTCAAGACTGGCAAGAGAAAACGTCTCTAACTTCTAGATTTATTTTCAAAGAGTTCATCTGATTAGGGCAGGCCCACCCAGAGTATCTCCCTCTTAATTAACTCAAAGCCAACTGATTAAGGGCCTTAATTACATTTGTGAAAATCCATTCACCTTTGCCATATAACGTAACCTAATCACAGGAATGACACCCCATCATGCTCACAGGTCCCAGACACACTACAGTGGAAGGGATTATACTAGGTGCATATACCTAGTATAATCCTAGGGGTACACCTAGGGGGTGAGAATGTTGGGGGCCATCTTAGGACCCTGCCTGCCATGGTTAATAGCAGTATCTTTTTTATTTCTTTAACGTAGATACTAAAACAGTATCTTCTTTCTTTCTGTGAAGGGCATCCCTACTACTGCTCTCATTTCTTTCTCCTCGTATCCCGTCACTCAGAGTCTGATCAGTGCTGTGTCTCCACCGTTGCTTGACCACCTGCCTTCTTCTCTAGAAACACTGCTTCCACCTTGGTTCATTTAGGGCCTTATCTCTGGCTGGCCTGTCATAGCTGCCAGCAACCTTGTTTCCTCATCTGCAGTCTTGCCCCTCAATCCTTTCTCCATCCTGCAGCCAGAGGAATCTCCCTTAAGTACAAGCCTGATCATCTCACTTCTTGATTTCAATCCACAGCAAAATGGATACACTGCAGCCCAGCCTTCTTGCTTCCGTGTTCTCCCCACTCCAGCCCCTGCCTTGTCTCTAACTTCACCCTTCTTTGATCTCTCCTATCAGGACTTTTCTCTGGTATTCCCGACTGGTTAAGTCCAACCAGAAGCCAGCAAGCACGAGCTAATGATGCAGTCCATACGTTTGAGGATGTATAAAGGAGAGTAGCAAAGAATGGGTACTGTACATGGAGGGTAAATGGCAGTTATAGCTCATACACCCCCCCAAAAAAGGTGTAAAATTGCAGAAGTCATGCCCAGAAGGGACAAAGAGGAGCCAAGGACAGGAGTTTGTCCTAGGTTGCTGCTGGCTCCACGTTACTTTTTCAAATGTTTAACCACCATTGTTTGGTAGCATCTTTCCAAAGATTTTAACATGAAACTTTTGCAGTGAAGTGAAAATGTGTGGATTTAGCTCTACTCTCTCAGTTGCCCCCCACGCCCTGCATTGAATCCCAGCCTCTGAGAAGTAACAGCTGACTGGCGCCACACTCCCTTCCAGTTCCAGAGCAGAGCTGGCGGTTCTGGCTATTGGTGGCCGAGAAAGGGCACAGCTCGGTGTGTGTGGAGAGAGAGGCCTGATGAGCAGCTTTCCCTAGGGCATTTCTGACACCAGTCATCCGGCTTCTCCAGGACGGCTCAACGGTTCACTAAGGACAGCGTGGGAGGAAAACGTGGCCCAGCCTGATAGATATCTCAGTCTTTTCACCCAGACCGACGCCAGCAAAGCTAAAAATAAATCAGCTTTCAGGTGAGCTGAGAGGACACAACCTGTGGAGACCTGAGCCCACATCAGGGTGGTAATTGCAGCCTTCACACGTCAGCGGAACCTTCTGCTCCTCTCAGGTCTGGGCACAGAGGCCTGGAAGGCGCAAGCGTTCATGAGCCAGCAGTAATGATGGAACCAGCCCTCTCGTGTGGAAGTCTCTCTGAGTGAACCAGATGTCGTTGGCCCTAGGAGGTGAGGAAAATAGTCACTATCTGCTGGGGGAGTCGAAGGTTTGTTTTGCTGCATAGATTGTCTCCTCAGGCCAGTCCCTCGGAACTCAATGTGGGCAACTTCTCTCTTTGATAAAGGTCATGTCATTGCCCCTCTGTGCCTACCCTTCCCTTAGGGTTATGTTCGCAAACTCTGCAGCATGTTAGAATCACCAGGGAGCTATTAAAAATCCCAGTGACTAGGTTGCACTCCAGGATAATTAAATCGGGATCTCTGGAGTAGGACCCAGGCTCCATTCGCTGTTTTATAAAGTGCCCAGATGATTTCAATGTGTCACTGAGGTACTGAGGCAGGACTGCCAACTTTGACGTTTCCCAGAGTCTTCCCTTCTTGACCCAGTTTCTTCACAGCTAGTTCCTCACTCTCTGAGACTCCCTCTAAGTCATTTACCCTCTCACCCATGTTCCCATCCACTTAGAGTCCTGGTCTAGGTTTACGCTCCTTTCATGCCTTCAGAAGGGACCCCAGAGTCCGGCTGTCCCCCAGTCTTCAGTGAATGACTGGAAAACTCGAGATGCAGGAGGCGAAGGCCAGGGAGTTAGGTAAAGTGAAGCAGGGGCCTGGACTCCTTCTTGCTCTAACTGATTTGTAGAGCCTGGAAGTTCCCTGAATGGCCACTGTCCCCCTCTGGGGAAAGCAACAATCAGTTTGATTCACTTTTTGGAAAGACAAGCTGTGGTCAGATTATGGAAGGTCATATGGAGGGAAAACCATATTAAGGATTTTATTAAGAGTTGAGATGGTGGGCAATGGGGAACCACTGAAGACTTCAGAGCAGCAGAGTGCCATGCCTGGAGCTGGACTTGAGGATGATCACTCTGATTGTGGTGGTGGATGGAGGAAAGAGAGCATGCTGGCAGTAGAACAAGCCAAGACAGGAAGCCAAGGCAAAGTTGAGGCCAGCAATTCTGAAGGAGGGGAGAAGTGGAGGGAAGGCTCAGTGTGGGAAGTACTGGGGACATGACCCATAGCTGCGCCTTTGACCTCTTCTTCTCCATCTTGCAAACAGATCCACGACCAAGAGTTGAGTTTTCACAGCGTTGAAAGGCCAGCATTGGCCCTAACGCTATTGGCCTCAGCAGAAGTCAGGAGCAAGAGTGAAGACCTAATGAAGAGAGAGAGAGGCTGGAGAGTCTGGACAGAAACCTGCGAGCCTTAGATTCTCATGCTGTCTCATCAAGCGCAGGGCCCAGCTTTTCATCCAGTGAAGGTTGGTGTGTAGTGAAGCTGGTGGGTTTTGGCCCTCAGACTGAGAGATTGGATGGAACCCCTGGGCTGTGTGGTCTCTGGACTTTTCCAGAGACTCCCAGCTTAATCCTGAAACCCTGCCTGTGGGTCTGGATGACTCTAGAGGGCAGTGGGAGGAGCAGACCGAGTCATTCAGGCTGCTCCGTGAGTTGTTCCTCCCTTGGTTGGCCTTGGCAGCCTGACTCCTTCCACTCTGATGGGCAGGGGAGGAAAGGAAGAGAGGAGAGGATAAAACGTTGTTTTAACCTTTCGAATTTGTGATTTTCAGCTGTAGATGCAACTGAGACCAAAGTGCCTTCTAAGCTGGCTCATTGGTAGTTTGATCAAGATAAAACATTTAGCAGGAGATAAAAACAAGGGCACGTTGTTAGAAGTGATCTCATGGGTCAAAAATCTGACCTGAGCATGAGATTTTTAGGACTGTCCTTGAAGCCCAGGGCTGCTGGTCTGGGGGGCACCCACAGAGAGGCAGCACAGTGCAGTTGTTCAGACTTCCTGGGTTTGAAATCTGACTTGCTATCTTTCTAGCTATGTATCCTTGGACAAGTTACTTAACATCTCTGTACCTAAGCTTCCTCACCTGCAAAATGGAAATAAAAATGATATCCAAATCACAGGGTTGTGGTGCAAGGTGAAATGCATTGAAACAGATAAAACACTCAGAGGCACTCATGGCATGTAATAATTGCTCAATAAATATTAGCTATTAGTATTATCTTACAGTTCCGGGATTCCTGAGGTGGTAGGGAGTCTGGACCCCTTGGTTAGTCTTTATTCCGCCAATGACTAGTTCTCTGAACTTGATCAGCCATGTTTAACTTCTGTGAGCCTCAGTTTCTCATTATCTAAAGATGCCAATTATCCTCTAAATGAGGATAATTGGAGTCTACATTGCCATGTGATTGTGAAGATCAAATGTGAAAATGGACGAGGAAGCATCTTGCTAACTAGAGAACCCTACACAGATCGAGGGGTACTGTTCCTATTGATTTGCCATCTGGCCTCTCTTGTCCCCCACCCCACCGCCCTACTGCCAGCTGTGTCCAGAGCTGGCAGACCAGAAGAGGACCACCCAGGGTGCTATTCTCCCTCAATGAGACCCTGGACAGGAGCACATTGAGGTTTGTCCTTAAAATCTTCTGTCTCTTCTTTATTCATTCCATCTCCTGGTGTCCCTCTTGGGTCTTTTATTGAGGCATTTTGCTCTGTTTGGAAAATATCTGACATTTAGCCAGAATAATAGTTAGGAATCAGTTTGAAGCCATGTACTCCACACATCAAAACTTTAAGTCACAAAGGGTTACAACTTTTATGGTAGAATTTGATCCCGAGAGAAAGAGGGGCGGCAGGTATGTGACCTGCTCACCTGGACCTGGTCAGGAGGCTTGGGCCTGAGTCTTGTCCGTATCACTGACTCTCCCTGTGATGTCTCAGGAGCTCACTGCATTGAAAGGGCTCCCTGAAAGTGAAGGGACTGAATTAGATTTCCTCTATGCTCCATTATAGATCTTCTACTTATCTGTGATTCTAAAACTCCAGGAAAACCAATTATTACAAACTATAGGTATTTTGTCTGAATTAAAAAGAAGAGTATTCTAACAGAGCTGACCAAAGATGGAAAAGGAAACTGTGAGTTCTCCGTATGTAGTTTTTAAGAAGAGGCTGAATGACTTTCTGCAGGTGGAATCCTGCAGAAAGGACGAGTGGCTGGATTTTAAGGTCCCTGTCAACTTTTTTTTTTTTTTAATTTATTTTTCTTTTTTCTCCCTAAATCCCCCGGTACATAGTTGTGTATTTTCAGTTGTGAGTCCTTCTAGTTGTGGCATGTGGGACGCTGCCTCAGCATGGCCTGATGAGCAGTGCCATGTCTGAGCCCAGGATCCAAACCGGCGAAAACCTGGGCCACCAAGCGGAGCGTGAGCTTAACCACTCAGCCGTGGGGCCAGCCCCCCTGCAGACTTTTGATCAATGGATTCTGTGAATTTTAGGAAAGAGGAAGGACCACTAAAAAAATATAATGAGAAATCTTGAGGAACAGAGTATCCTGGCCCTCCTTAGGTCTTGCCCTGCTGGGGACCATACACTGAGTCTTTTGAAAGGCCGGCCTCGATGAGGAGACCCCCAGCAAGGGGAGACTTTGGTGCCCAATGGACCTCCTAGAGCGAGAGGGGCGGAGCCGGGCTGCAGGGCCTGTGCAGAGCAGGGCCCGAGTGCCAAGACGAGGCGTTCCTCCCCACTTACCCTGGGACAGGGATCTCAGGAAGGCGGCATGGACTGACCAGGGGGAAAAAGAGGATCAGTCTTTGAAGTTATTTTCCTGGTTCAAGGACCTCCAAGAGGAACACTTTTTACTCATTAGCCTGTCTAGACATAGGGACCCACCAACTGGGCTGGCCTCTTCCGCTTCTAATTTTCCTTGCTCTGTCACTCATGCTGAGGATGGGGAACAAGGTTGAAAGCTGATACCAGCAATTATGTGAGGACAGCATCGAGGCTGTTCCACAGATCCCTGATTTGAGACGGACACGGATCCAACACCGTGTTTTTGAAGAGTTCTGACTCTAGGCGGAGGGAGCAGTCAAGCCGAAGGAAAGTGGGGAATTTAGGAAGACGTGTGGTTCTTCTTGGAGGACTCGCTGACACGTGCTGCATTTCGCCACTGTCATGAGTTGTCTGCACGTGCCGTACAGAGGGCCGTTTGAATGTGCTGTGATGCAGAGAGAGGGCAGCCCAGGGTGGGTAACACCTGTGAAGGGAACCGGCTGGTAGGGGATCTGTCTGAGTCACCTTGGGCTGCTACAACAAAATACCACAGGCTGGGTGGCTTAAACTCAGACATTTATTTCTCACAATTCTGGAGGCTGGGAAATCTGAGATCAGCGCACTGCCAGACTTGGTTTCTGGTGAGAGCCTGCTTTCTGGCTTGTAGGTGGCCACCTTCTTGCTGTGTCCTCACATGGCCTTTGCTTGGTGCATGGGCCTGGAAAGAGCAAGGTTTCTCTCTCTTCCTCTGCTTATAGGGGCGCTATCCCATCATGAGGGTTCTACCTGCACAACCTCATCTAAACCTAAGCATCTCCCAAAACGCCCCACATCCACATACCATCTCATTGGGAGTTAGAGCTTCAACATTTGAATTTCTGGGGGGGGGGGGACACAAACATTCAGGCCTTAACAGGTGCCTTGGCCTTCAGATTCCCAGAGTCCTTCTGGCCGGTGGATCCCCCACAACATGGACTCCTGCAGTGCTGGTACTGTGACTAAGCCCCTCCTTACCCATCTGTCCACAGGGTTCCATGCAGCCCAGAACCACCATGGCCTTGGAGAAGAGGCTCAGAAGCAGGAGTCAGGAAGCAGAAGCCCTGGCCACTTTGTGGTTGTAGAGTCATCATCTAGAAGAGAGAACCATGAAATGTATGTGTAGAAAGACAGCTGGCCTCTCTTCCCACAGGAGTTAACGATCCAGAGGGGAAGACGATTTGAGCTCTTTACAGACCCGCGTTATACATGACTGGCTGCTGATCCATCTCCTTCTCGCTGACCAGGACGAGGAAACTGACTGACATCGTCAAGCAGCAGCAGTGAAGATGCAGCGTAGACTTTCTGGACAGACCGGTTGCCAAGAACCAAACTGTGGAAGGAGTAATAAGTATTCATTTAACACCCAGTTATATAACACATATATATCATATAACAGAGTTATATGATAGGCACTCTGGGGTAAAAAAATAAAAATCACCGAACCGACTCTTAACCTCAATTTGGGTATTGAAGAAAGGATTGTCTTGCCTTGCACATAGTAGGCATTTAGTAAATGTTGAATTGAAGAATATAATCGAACGGTGATTCAGCTGAGGGAAGGCCTACACAGAGGAAGGGGGATCTCAAATCTCTTCCAAAACTGTAAGAATGACAAGGCAGGATGTTCTGTGCAAGGCTGGAGTCACAGCTTTCAAAGACAATTCAAATGCTACGTGGTCAAGGCACAAGGGGAAAAACAGCCTCTTGAATCCCTAATTGTTTACTTCCTTAAGAGAGTAAGTTTAGCTGGCGGCATGGAGCTTATTCATTCATTCATTCATTCACTTACTCATCCTGTAATTATGAAGCAGTTCTATATACTAGGTGCTGGGCTCAGCACTAAGGGTAGAGCAGTTGAAATAAGATGAACAGTTTCTTGTCCTCAGGAAGCCTCTAGTCCAGGGAGGAAGTCAGACATTGAAAATAGATGTTCCAGCTGTGATGAATGGATCGATAGGGGCAATCAAAGTGCTATGGATATCATTTGTCGTGTACTGCAAGTTTATTAACCTAGGAATAGATTCAAACATTGTCATGTACATATTGTGACCATGACTTTGCAAATGAACTTTTAACAAACATATTGAGACTTATGCATATAAATAAGTGTTTTTTCCAACAAAGACTCACTTTGGAAGCCCGTGTTCATATTTCAATGATACTTTTCTGGTTACTGGTATGTATTTCTTATTTTTCATTTGCACTAGAGACTGAATATGTTCTCCTGAATATTCTTTTACTATTTATTCTTTGATGATAAGTCCAGCCTTTGGAGTTGCTATGAATTGACTATGACTTGGTCTCTACCTAGCTGTGTGAGTTTGGCAAGTTATGTGACTTTAATATTCTGAAGAGCAGAATGCTCTCTGTGATTTTGTCCTCTTCAGACTGTTACCAACCTGGTACGTTATTCTGGGACTCCCAGCATCTGAACCTGTAGGCTGTGGTCTGGGAGGCAACGTCTCGGTGGACAGTACGTGTCATCAACCTCTTCTAGGCTGACTGATCATGCCTGGCTTCTGGCCACCTGCACTGTGTTAGCTAATAGATGGAGTGGCTCTTTTCCACCATTACTTTGCTGATAATTACAGGTGCAGGCTTTATCATGTTTGGGGTTTGGCCAGTATTCTGTGAGACGTGATCAGAGCGATTGATACTTATCAGTGCTGGGATCCTTCCCAGACACACAAAACAGGTGAGGCAACTGCCATTTGTGATGATCTTGGCCCCAAAGTCATTTCATTCTTCCCCAGGATGCTGAGAAAATACAGACTGACATCCACTTAACTGAGGTACAGGGGGACGCTGGACCACAATGGGGAGGAGGTGCTGAAAGCCTCAGAGACCAGCTGGATGTGCTTTCTCAGATGTCAGGCTGCACCAGTGTACATCGCACCCATCAGGTCAGCCACAGGACCTCAGAATGTCCAAGCAGTATCAAGAGGAGCCTTGGAGGTCATCTGCTTCCGTCTCCTTATATGTAGATGAGGAAATAGGTTAAGGACGTTTTTGAGGTCACACAGCATACCGGCAGCCGGCTGTCTTAGACCCAAATTCTCCTGAATTGGTTTCCTCTCCATCCCTGCTTCTTAGGCACCTCAGACACCTGAAATTGTTACCAACCATTGCACACATTCGATGCAGAAGTTTCGAAATGGAAGCCTATGGGCTGTATCCGGCATGCATAGCTGATCTTAGTTGCCTGCAAAGTATAAACATTGAGATGATATTTCAAAAATCAGGAGATATTTACATAAACATTCAGAATCTTAGCTTCTCTTGAAAATATAGAAAACACTGGAACACCAAGACAAAAATCATCAGAAGCCAGGTTTTTCTCCATATTAACCACAATCGTGCATATTCACTTGTAAGAGTTACACTAACAAGAGTTAGCTGATGGCTCTGTGAGACTTGCTTGCTACCTCTGGTAAGTGTGTGCTTCAGGGTCCCCACCAAACTTCTATCACATCCCCAGTCCACTTGTCCTCACTCTAAATGAGGCCAGTGCCCTACCCTCCGAATTTAGCCAAGCCCATTCACTACCGTCTCCAATGCCTCTCGTACTGGTCCTCTCCTCCTGCCCTCTGCAGGGACCCATCTTCCTATTTGTGGAAGATGTTCCCCCTTCTATTTAATATTTCTACCAAACTGCTTTTTTCTTCAGCATCCCCAGTAACACTTTGGCAGAGGACATTAAACCATAATTCATGGGTAGTCTTCAGGAAGACAGAAAATTCTCAAAATTTGTATGCAAAATTTTGAGTGCATGTATATTTTTAAAGGAAACTGTCCATGGCTTTTTTCATCTTTTTTTTTACCAGGGCCCTGCAAAATACTTGTTTTCTGCTCTCTGCCTGCCCGTTGTGAGCCTGTCTTCTCCTTGCAGGTTACTTTCCCAGTACCCTACGCAGTCTCTGTGGTCCCAAGGGCAGTGTTGCCCATGGTCTGTGGCACAGGGAGGAATGTGGTTCTTGCTACATACTCAGAAGGTTGCCATATTTGCCACCCTCAGGAATGTGCTCCCCACCCCCACAATATTTTTTCCTTTAGTTGTATAAAAAACATCTTACTCCTTGACCTAAGGTAAATCATTTTAGTAGAATTATTAGCGCTTCATAGCCAACCTACATTCCATACCTGGGAAACTTTCTAAATTCTCTGTTGTGAGAGAGGAAGAAGAGGAGAGGGTTTCAGAGCAAAGCAGCCTGCCCCGTCGCAAAGTCGCAGAAAGCACGACTCGAGGTAATAAAGATTTGTTTCCATAAACTGTGGGCTACTAACTAAGAAATAATAAAGTAAAAAAAAATCTATGTCTCCTAGTTCTGACAGGCTGCATCTCTTTATGAGAAATATTCAGCTGCAAGTAACAACAACAAGGAAAATACTAACAGTAACCTGCAGGATGGACATTGATGGTTTCCTTCTGAGATAGATGAGCTCCTGGATAATTTGATGGCTCAACTATGTCACCAAGGACCAGGGCTCTTCTGATTTAAGTTCTCCACCTTGCCATCTTATGGTTGCAAGATGCACGTTGCATACTTGTACATCATGTCCTCAAAGGTCAAAAATAAAAGAAAGGGGTACAGAGCATGGATTTTTCCTTTTTTTTCTTGTTGAACACTTAACATGAGATCTACCCTCTTAACAAAATTTTAAGTGTACAATAGAGTATTGTTAACTAAGAGCCTATGTTGTATAGCAGGTCTCTAGAGCTTATTCATTAGCATAAGTGAAACCTTACACCCATTGGACAACATCTCCCCATTCCTCCTCCCTCAGTCCTTGGTCAGCACCATTCTACTCTCTACTTCCATGAGTTGACTTTGTTAGATACGTCCTGTAAGTGGGATCATGCAGTATCTGTCCTTCTGTGACTGGCTTCTTTCACTTAGCAGAACGTCTTCCAAGTTTATGTAGGTTGTCACATAAGGCAGGATTTCTTATTTTTTAAGATTGAATAATACTTTATCGTATGTATATACCACATTTTCTTTATCTTCTCATCTGTTGATAGGCATTTAGGTTGTTTCCGTATCTTGGCTGCTGTGAATAATGCTGCTGTGAACATAGCTGTGTAGACATCTCTGCCTTCAATTCTTTTGGATTTATACTTAGAAATGAGATTGCTGGGTCATATGGTACTTCCTTTTTCAAGGAATCTCCATACTGTTTTTCGTAGTGGCTGCACCATTACATTCCCACAGTGTATAAAGGTTCCAACTTCTCACATCTTCACCGACATGAGCTATCTTTTGTTTGTTTGATAGTAGTCATCCTAATAGATACAAGGTGATGTCTCCTTGAGGTTCTGATTTGCATCTCCCTGATGATTAGTGATGTGGAATACCTTTTCATATATTTGCTGATCATTTGTGTGTCTTCTTTTGAGAAATGTCTATTCAACTTATTTGCTCATTTTTAAAAATCATGGTATTTGTGCTTTTTTTTTTTTGCTATTGAGTTCTAAGTGTTCGTTATATATTTTGAATATTAACCCTTATCAGATGTAGGGTTTGCAGACATGTTCTCCTATTTCGTAGGTTGACCTTTCATTTTGTTCATTGTTTCCTTTGCTGTGCAGAAACTTTCTAGCTTTTTTCCTTCTTCTGCTTCTCTTTTCTATTATCAAGGAAGAAAAACTTTCCCAAAGCTCCTCAATCGACTTCCCCACTGCCTGGAACCAGATTCCATGGACGTCTCTAACTGCAGAGGAAGCTGGGAAAGTGTGGTCTGTCTTTTTCAGTCTTTTTTAGAGGATGTAGGCAAAGGAGGAAGGGATGTAAATAGCTGGAGCATGGCCAAACGACACTGTCCAGCACAGTTGCTGGGCTCTCTCTGGCTTAGCCCACAGGAGGACTAAGGTCTGGGTTAGGCATTAGCAATGGCAGCTGTTTCATCCGTAGGCTGGGCTCTCAATCCCCATCCCTTTCCTTGGACTTTGCTCCATCAGGAATCAATGACTTCAAGTGTCTGCTTACGTTCTCACCTCACCCACTAGATTGTGAGCTGCTTGAGGGAAAGGGCTAGGATTTATTTACCACCCAGAACCAGACTCACAGAAGATGTTTAAAAATATACGTATATGGGAGGAAATGACTAATTCGTTGATAAATATTTACTTTGGATAAATTAGTTAATTAACTAATGGAGGACCCCATTTATAGAGACACAATATGACAAAAAAAAAACAACAACAACTCTATCCTTAGGAGTGCTAAAACTGAAAAAGTAAGATGAAGACATGTTAGACAACACAGGAATATGCTTAACAATTTCAGACGTATAATCATTTACGTGGTTATTTCAAGGAGAAATTCTCCCTTTCTTCTTCCTATATTTTTGCCTTGCCATCCAGGAAAGAGAAATTATACCAATCCTTTTATCATAGATTCACGTAAGAATACTGTGTGTGATTATAGTGATTTATGGTTTCTAAAGGAGTGTACATTATCTTACTCGATCTACACAACAAATTTGTGAGGTAAGCAAGGACAGATTAGAGATATCATATTTAGTGTTATTGGACCAAAAATTAACAATACTTGGACAAAAGTCACTTCTTTAAAATTGTTTAACGACCTTTCCCTTCCCCAACCTCATCAAAAGAATGTGTAAACGCGAGTCCAATTTCCACTTCCTGTACTCTTACAGGAGGACAGAATTTTTTCCTGGAAGAAGAGCTAAGTTGATCTAGATATTACAGTACTTGGGGAGTGGGGAGAGAGGATGAAAATGACAGAAAGCTGAATGAGTAGGGAGTGAAAGAGGAGGCTTTTTATTTCCCCCTGGAGACCAGAGCCAGAAGAGCTCAGATAAGAGAGTAGGCTGGAGAGGAAAGAGAATTTGAATGAGTGTTTCTAAGAGCCATATAGCTTCATCCCCATTAATGTCTTTAGACAGACATGAATAATAAATGGAATTTCATCTTTATTACTTTTAATTTTTGGATGTTGCTTCTTAAATCTGATGCTTCTCTGAAACTAAATCACATGGGTCTCTGAGTTTATTCGGGTTACATATTGGTGATGAAACAAAGGCGCAGAGAGGTTAAGAGACTAGGTTCAAATCAATAATCTAGTTAGTAGAACCTAACTACACCTAAATCCCTGTTCCATGCTTTCCCCTTCCACTTCATCCTGCAGAAGAAAAGTGCATTCATTTGGTTTTTTTGTTGTTGTTGCTGGGTTTATTTTCCCTTTCTTTTGAGGTGTGTACTTTTCTGCCCTGCCCAATTCATGGAGACTTGTCAAGTTTTCAGTTTGCTCCTGTTAAGCAAATGCTTTGCAGGGTAAGGAGTTTTCTGTTTTTGTAAGGAGGCTTTTTAAAATGTCTTTATTTCCTTTTTTTTTCCCCTTGTTGTTGGCACCTTACTCAGGACCCGTGAGTCCCTCTGAGCTGTGTGTCTCAGGGTGATAATTGAATTTCTCAGGGTGCAAGTTTCTGGGAAGCTGAATTCGTGCTACTTGGTGGCATGATCCTGGTGGCAGTCTTGCTTGGTATCTCTCTCTCTTTCTGGGCACCCCCACCCTCTCCCAGGCTGAGTCACAGCCAAAGGCTTCACATCAAAGTACAAGAGAAAGACGATCCACAGGGCCATCCACTCATCAAAGGTTTAGGATTAAGGCTCACACTGGTTATCTCCTGCTTGCTCTACCCTGAGGTTCTGGGTGAGGTTGGCCTGCTTGCTCACACTTTGTTGATTCAGATTGATCTAAGGGAGAGGTGGAGAAATGTCTTCAGGGTGTGTTTGCGTTTCAGGTAAGTCAAAGATGTTTGTACCTGTCTGTTTAAGAGAATAAACAACTGAGTCTGGGTGTAGCCAGGCACAGACTATGGTAGAAAGATTTGGATGGTTGTGCTCCTATTTGAGGCAAGTCAAAGGCCTGGAACTAGGACCCAAAGAGACAATTCTTTTTGGAGGGGAGAAGGGAAGGTCATTATAGTAGCTAGCTGAGATCTTGGGGGACTGACTATGGGTAAGGTATAGGATAGGTGTATTGCCTACTTGCCTCTCTCTACGCTGTTTTTATTGTTTGTTTTTTAATTTGGGTGGTGGTGGGGTTGGTGGTAAAGTTGCAAAAGGAACAGGAATTTCCAAAGAACTTGAGAATTTAGAGTCATGAAGAATAAGAAAAAGAAGAAAAATACTGGCCTAGGAGGCGAGGTCATTTCAGAGCACTCCAGGAAGATGTGCAGGAGACTCCTGCAATGGTCCAGCTGTGATGTGGTGAGAGCCTGAAGTGAGGTGGGGATGGGGAGAAAGAGGAGAATGACGTGGGGGGAAGAGAGAGAGGAAGAAAGCAAGGAAATGTGAGGGCTGGAGCCTCCTCCATAGGCATGGAAAATTCATATTGGGGCTGCTGATGTCACTTATCATGATTTATTGCAGTTGTGTGGGTGTTCACACAGGGGCGTGCTCTCTCTCCATTCTCCCATGTTCACGTAATCTGGACTGTAGTCTGATGAATGTCTGACAACAACAGCGCAGCAACAGCCACAGAAAGTACGGTCCCAGGGACTCGCAGAGTCTAACATCTCCTTTATGTGGGGACAGAACATGGGGAACAGGATTGAAAATAACCAAAACTCAAAAATTAACCTTTAGATTCACAAACTCTCCAGGCTAAATGGGACCATGGTCCATTCCTGGTGGTAAAATACCAAGCATTATTATGTTGTGTTTGTTTTCTTTCTAACTGAAAGACAAGAATACAAAATGGAAAGGAGTGGCGAGAGAACTTGGTGTATCCAGAAAACTGCAAATGGCTCTCCATGGATAAGCTGCAGGTCCACGGGGAGAGACGTGGCTCGGGGCAGAGAGAGGCCAGGCTGTGGAAGGCCCACAAGTCATTACAGGAATTGTATATTTTACCTGGCAAGTCATAGGGATCCATTGATTGATCCATGTAACTTCTGAGGAGTTACATGACCAGATTTGCATTTTAGAAACATCACTCTAGTTGCAATGTGGCAAGTGCAATGGCAAGTGAAGGTGGACAAAGGAGATTTACCCCTGTTCCATGGCATTGAACTCTGAACTGCCCTAAAGTTCTAGGATTAGGGCTTGAGTCTTTCTTAGGGCTGAAATATAACCTCATTTTGACTTAGAGGGATCTCTCAGAGAGGGGACCAAAAGCTTTTTAAGTTCCACATTCATACATCTAAAGCATGAACAGGAATACTCTTGGAAATCCAGCCAGGGATAATGATTAAGGAAACAAGGGCTTTAGGAAAAGTATGTCTGGGATTTTGTGGAAGAGCTCTGGATTCTGGAGGAAACTAGGAAAGGGTCAAGTGATCTGTCATGGGAAAATCCCAACATTCCCAGCTCTGCTTTCTTGGATACAGGTCCTCCTCTCATCATAAAGACCAAAGCAACCTGGAGAATGAGGATCTCCCCTCATATTTAAATAGCTTCCAGGTTTTATGATTTATTTTCACAAGTGTATTTTCTTCCATTCTCACAACTTCCATGTGAGTTTGGTGAGTTAGATAGACTCTCAAAGCCTCAGTTCCCCTGTCTGTTCAAAAGTGGGCTTAATATGTGGCCTGCCCATGGTCACGTGGTTCATCAGCCCAGAGT